ATTGAAGTCTGGGCCCAATTCAAGGTGTTGGTTATGACCTATAAAGCCCTAAACGGCTTGGGACCTGGTTACCTAAAGGAGCGCTTACATCCATATATGCCCGACTGCCCCTTGAGATCTGCAGGAGAGGCCCTTCTCCAGGAACCCTCCGTGAAAGAAATTAGGAGGGTAGGTACTCAGAGGAGGGCTTTCTCTGCGGTGGCGCCTAATCTATGGAATATGCTCCCCAGAGAGGTCCGCCTGCCGCCGTCGTTATTTGTTTTTCGGCACCAGGCGAAGACCTTTTTATTTAAACGTCATTTTAATTGTTAACAATATTTACTTATTTATCTGGCCAGGGCGACTTCTTTTCTTTTATAACTTTTCTTTTATAACTTCTTTTATATCGTTTATATTTTTTATTTATTTTATATTATTAACTTTAATTTTATATTATTATTTTTGTATTGTATTGTATTGTATTTTATTGTGTTGTAAGCCACCCCGAGGCTTCGGCAAGGGGCGGCATAGAAATGTTCTAATAATAATAATAATAATAATAATAATAATAATAATGGACCAAGGCTCCAACCTGGTATCCTTGAGGACTGCCGGATTACAATCCCCTCAATCCTGGCAGTGAGTTATGGGAACTGTAGTTCCATGCATGTGCAGGACACCAGGTGAGAGAAGGTTAGTCCAAGGTATAGAAAGGCTGAGGAGAAATGGGCCTCTCTACACAAACAGATCTCCCACATGAGGGGAAGGTCTCCCACCAACAACAAACCGCATGCCGAAAGCTGGATGTTGGGAGGAAGCACTGCAGCATGAACATCTCACTCAGCAGCAGTGTTCCTGATCTGTGACTGGGTGCAGATTTATTCATGTTTAGAGTAAAGCTACTGAAATTGAATCATGGCCAATTTCCCATTGATATTGAAGGCTCTACTCTAAGGCAAGGGCAACAGGACATAGTGATGCACATAGTAAAAGCCTGATGAAATCTGGATCCAGCTGTAGATGAGGAGAATTTGAACACATAGCAGTACACCGATAGGTTCCTTTTTCCAATGTTCTACTGAATCTACAGAGGATGGTGTGGGCTTGCCCCAAGCAAATACCTTCTGCATGGATGGCCAGTGGCTGAATCAACAGTTCAAAAGGTACCACAGTAGCTGAAGTGCATGAAACAGCAGGCAATGTAATGCATTGTGCTTTGTTGCTTTAAATACATGCAGTTGTCTACATATGTGCTGAAGAGGAGATGTAGCCATTGCCCGCTCAAAGACTACCAGTGCAAGCATAGGCATGTCTATTCAGAATTAAGTTTCATTGATTTCAACTGAACTTTCTCCTGGGTAATGGGTATGAGATTGCAGCCTTAATTTCGGATTAAGATTCCGAGATTTGGGATTAACTTGGGGCTCAAAAATGAATTCTGAAGCATAATACTAGCAAATGACATTAAAACTAGGAACAGGGACCACACACTAGAGACTATCACTAATTATTAATGATATCTCTCTCATTTTACACTAATTTTCAGTGTGCAGTATATCCTTAACCCCTTCCTCTTCTGATGAATGCTTTACATATTAAATAAAATCAGCATAATTGAAAGGTCTGAAAGAGAAATCTTTCAATGTTCCCCCTATAGTATTCCTTCTTTCAAGGTAGGAGAGAACATGATAGGAAACAGCACTAAGGAGCACAAAAAAGCACCAAAAAAGAAAAAAAAAGTAGGTCTGAAGCTGGTGAGAGCAAATATTGATTATTATATGCAGCGGTTTCTGTCAAGCTAGATATTTTGCCTTTAAGGAAGAGACACATGTTGAGTGTTCTTCATAAAATCAAACCACCATTTTCCAGACTCAGTTTGAGATCCTTTGCAATAATGGGCTGTCCAACAACTGATGCAAGCAGAATCAAAGTATCAGATTTGACACTTGCACAAGGGTAAAACAACATTTCCACAAGCACTAGCAGCTCTACAGGCCATTGGATGCAATCCACTGCTTCTTTAAAAGCACAAAAATAGATGAAAATTGTCTGAACTAACTGAACTGAAACCCAGCTTTGATTGCCAGGGAAAATCTGAAACTGACATGGACAGACTGAAACTGACAGTCTTGGCATCCAGATCTTGTTATGGAAGCAGCAAAGTTGCCAGTTCAGTTTCCTGACTCACACCTCAAGAAGGCAACAATGTTGCCAGACCAGTTCCCAAATTGGCAGCTTGTTAAAGAGGCAATGATGTTGCTTGTCTAGTTTCCCCATTCTTGTTGCATTTTCTCACCTGTTCTGAACCTTTTCCTTTCCTTTTCTTTCCTATTTACTAAAAGTTTTGAGGGTAGCTGACCCCTGAAACTGTCTATGTAACTGAACCCTTATAAAAGCAATTTGCACAGTTAAATTCTTCACAGCCTCCGGCAGGCTACCTACCTGCATGTATCTTGTATGTCTGTTACTTATTTTGGCTGTACACCACCAGTGTGCCTGGCTTTTGTTATTTATTTATTAAGTTTATATACCACACTTGCTTTTTCTGGGTTTTGACAAAAATTATATTTTAATGAGCTGAAAGCATGCCTGTTATGTGGCTGTTAAATACAAAGGCACTCTTTATTTCATTTCATTTTCACTGCCCAACAGCTGAAGATGCCTTACCAGGAATGAAGTAACTCTCTTTGGATGCAGGGACTTACTTTGAGCAAACATTGTTAGGAGCAAAGTGTTAATAGGCAATTTAATGACGTATGTAGACTTACTGGAAACAAAGCCCTGTTCTGTGTGCAGGATCTACACCCGAGAAACTGAAACAACCAGAGCCAGAAAAGGTTGAGGTATTGGGTATAATTCCCATTGCACCATCAAATCCTAATCTCATTTACTGTGGCATAAGACCTACTGCACCCAGGGGGGGTCTTACTCTTCCTGATTTTTAAGTAGTTGTTTTGCTTTAGGGAGATACCAGCAAGAGGGGTAGAATTATCACAACAGGCATAAATGCAGGGTAACTAAACTCTTTCCCAGTGTGCCCTTTTGCAATTAAAAAGCTCTCCACCTGATGTTTTGCATTTTGCAGGACTCCCTGTATCCCCCCCCCCCACAAAAAAAAGTAGGAAAGCAACATAGTGAGGAGGACTGGGATGAGTCAGTTGTCCCTTTTATTCCATGTATCACCCAGAACAGTTTCAGTAATATGCTCTCATGATCTCTCACAGAAGTTTGCAGTCTTTTCATTATGCTATCAACCCTTTTCTTTTCTTTTAAGAGAAAGAAGAGTTAGCTTTATAATTCAGATTGCAAAAAATGAGAATGAAAGCCTCATGAAAAGTTGTAAATCTGCTATTCTGCAGCTGTATCACAGCACCACTTTGCAGTCAGTTAACAGAATATATAGAAAGGCAGAAAGATACAAATCCCACGGATAAAAGTCCATGTACAGAACATATTTTTGCTTCCCAACAAAATTTAGAAGAAGCTTCAGTAAAGCAGTAGTTTAAACTCTGACAGAGCCCTGTAATTTCAATTGGTAGAAAGAATACATGGAGTTCCAGGAAAGACCTAAAGTGCTTTGAACTTCAGCAGTTTTATTGGTGAGACTAACCCAATCACCCGCAGATCTAAGGACAATGTGCCTCTGGGTAGAGGTACAAAGCATCTGCAAGCTTTCAGAACATACACAGAGTGTTTTATAAGTTTTGAGCCCCAGCTATGCTGGGCAGGTGATGATGAAATAAGGGCAACACAGTCAAAAGAATGTGAGAGATCTGCAGAGGAAACTTAATACAATAGTGTTGATTACAGGAACCTAACATAACAATCACTGAGGGACAGGCATTATTGTGGGTCTTGGCTGTGAGTTTGATCATGCAAATTAGAGTGATTACAATGCTGCTAAAAAAAATCTAACTTTGTAGCCTTATCAGATGCTGCTGATCAGCAAAAGAATAGAGATAGATTAACTTCTCCTGCAGTTTCCCAGGTGACCTAAGAGTTCCAGTCTCTTAAAGTAACAGCAATGCTAAACAGTAACCTGGCTTGGAATTCTGGTGCTGAGAAGGGGGTGCATGCATTTTTATAACCCAAAGGCACCCATAAGCAACATTTCTCTACCAGGATTTATCTGAATTTCCCAACAACTCCCTGTGTGACTAGTGCATTTGATTGATTTGGCTCAGACAATGAAATTTTGGGGCATTTTTCTGGAATACAAATTATTGCTCAGAACAAGTACCAGAATGTGAATCCCTTGGGTTGTGTTTGTTTTTGCTTTGCAGCATGTTGCATCAAGCCCATCTCAATCACTAAGTGACTGGTGAATTTCATTGGTTTGGTTTCACTTCTCGTTTCTGGGTCTGAAGGGATTAACAAAAGTATATTAGATGAGTTTTAGTTCTCAATTTTCCTCTCATGTGTCTCTAACACATCCCACTGCTTTTGGCAACACATTCTGACTTCTATACCATCCAGATTTTTCTGAGGGAAAATGAGGGTTCCTCTTTCTTTTGAACTTTTGCAACACATGTTCAGCCTTTCTTTGCAGTAGTCACAACATCTGGAGATGTATTCCCTAAAACATGTGGGTTTTGAAGAGGATGCATCCTGCATATCTGTCAGAATTAGATCCTTGGAATTAGGATGCAAACTTGTGCATGTGTATAAACAGTGTAAAACGTCCTATAGTTTTCAGCCTAGGTCTGCGGGAAGTTGCACGACTTCTTTTGGTATTGTTGTTTATGTCTAAATAGGCATTGGGTGGCGCCCTAAGTTACATTTTGGACGTGTACGGCGAAGACAGAGGGGGAGTGAACCAACACAAGAAAAAGAGTGCCGCCTCCATCTTGGTTGAGGGCACTATCTGGCAGGGCGGCCATTTTGCATGAGGGCAGGAGGCCGCGTGAGGTAAGTCACCAGGTGTCAGGTGGGCTTCCCGTTGCCCAATCAGGGAGCGGGAGAGGGGAAGGCGAGGCTCTGGGCCTCTGCATAGACTCGCGACTCGCTCATTGATCCGCCTTTGGTCTGTTTTGCGGCCGCAGTCATGTTGCTGCTTCGCTGCCGCTGCGGCTGCCTCGTACTGCGGCTGCTTCTCCTCTGGGCGACGGGCCCCGCGGGAGCAGAAGCTGAGACGGCCGAGCAGCTGAGTCCGTACTTCGGCACCAAGTCTCGCTACGAGGAGCTGCACCCGCACCTTCTGCAGGACCCTCTCTCGCTGGGGCCGCCCCAGCCGGGCTTCCCGCTGCCGCCGGCTTCCTGCGTGCCGCTGCAGCTCAGCGCCGTCGTCCGCCACGGCACCCGTTTCCCGACGCGCAAGCAGATCGAGAAGCTGGGCCGCCTGCATAGCCTCGTCCTCCAGCGGAACGGCAGCGGCAGCTGTCCGGCCGCCGAGCGCTTGGCGCGCTGGGAAATGTGGCTGCGGCCAGACATGGACGGCAAGCTGGCCACCCGCGGGCGCCGCGACATGGAGATGCTGGCCCGGCGGCTCGCCTCTCGCTTCCCCAGCCTCCTGGCCCCCAAGCGCCGCTTCGCCTTCGTGAGCAGCTCCAAGCACCGGTGCCTCGACAGTAGCGCCGCCTTCCGTGACGGGCTCCGGCAGGCGCTCTACGGACAGCAGCCCACGGCGAAAAGGAATGGTGAGCGAGTTCCTCGCCTTTCTCCTTCCTTCCTTCCTGCTACTATTGCGTTTCAAACACCAGGCCGGCAGCATCTTTTCAGCCGTAGGGAGGCAACTTGTGGGCACTCTAGAATTTTGGTGTTCGCCAAAACACCCCAAAGGTGGAGATCTTGCATGCAGTTCTAGCCATAGCGGACAAAAGGGGGGGGGGCGCAATCTGCCTCCCGTCGACTCCTGTCAGAAGCCCACCCTGTGCAGTCAAGTCAGACTTCTGGCAAGAGTTGCTTGCCCGCTCGGACACTTCCAACCCTGGCCCTCCCCACACTGCTGGCATTTCCTGCTGCTCCCCTACACCCTGATCATCAGCAAGGGAATGCAACCTGGACTAGAGCGCACTGACGGCCAGTAGTGATGTGGCCCCCTCAGTTGGTGTCAGTTGCCCCACCGCAGAGAATGGGCCTGGCCAGAACTAGCAAATCCTTTCGTACTGTGGAAGTAAGTTGCTATGTACTTCTAGATTCACCCATGTTAATTATGCACTTAACTTAATCACAATATGATAATGAACAGTCATGTTTTGCTCATGATAAACATAACGGTTACAAAATACTTCACCTAAGCGAATATAGTTACACCTGACTTTGACAGAACAAAAGACTCAAGGCAAATTACCATCTATATACATTTCAGTGTCCTTAAATTGAAAATTCTCTGCTTAAAGGTATATGATGTTGACTAGTTTGGGCTAGTTTGCTGTAGTTTCCTTTTATACTAGCAAAAGTGCTGGCATGACCAGATCGTATTCTAAGGGTCTAGAATTTTCCACTACTATGAGTTCCTCTACGGATAGTCTTAACTGAGAACTAAGCACATTGTAGCTTAGTAGTTAGAAGATATAAAATCAGTGTGTAGTCCAAAATTATTCAGGTAGACTCAACTGGATGATCTTGGTGAGAGATGGAATAGTATCTCAAAGTCATTCATTGCCTTTGATGGCTTTTACTGCTTTGTTCCCAGTATCACACTGTACTCTATGTATCTTTGCTCACAATCCTTTTGCAACATTGTCTCTGTGTCTTTTCTCGCATTACTTTTACTATACTGAGCCTTAAGATGATGTTCATCACATGTTGGGTTTAGTACCCTTAGTAGAAACCCTGTAGGAAGAGATAATACATGCCGTATGTAAAGGCTTGATATCAAATAGCAGATTGTCTGTCCTGCCCCCCCCCCATCCCAATTGTTCTTTACTTGGAAGAGCAGCCTTGTTTGTTTAAAACATTTGTATGCAGCTGCCTGTTGTGCCGTAGCATCTCTAGGTGGTTCACAATCAGAAATCAAACACCATAATAACTGATTGAAACTAAAACTTTAGCTCAGTGTTTGCTGGAAGATCAGCTGTATAATATTGTGTAAGCTTGCTTTTATTGAACTTGTATTTTATTTTACACAAGGCTTTTTTTTAAAAAAAGAGAAATGATTGACATTGAAGATTTAGGGCTTTCTACCATATAGGCAGTTAATATGGCTTATTACATCATCCTTGTCTATAATCTGAATTCTAACTATTCAGATATACATGGTGTATAGGATTAACTAGTCTCATTTCTTTCATTTTTAGACACTGTGAGAGAAACATTTGAAATTAATGACAAACTGATGAGATTTTTTGATCACTGTGAAAAATTTGTAAGAGATGTTGAAGATAATAATACAGCTATGCATGAGGTGGATGCCTTCAAAGAAAGTGTTGAAATGAAGAAGGTAGTGGAGAAAATTGCCGAGTCTTTGGGTCTACCAGTGAATGATCTAAATGCAGGTAATAGTCTACTTTTGAACTCCATAAGCTTGCCTTTAACTGCTGCCTGTTTTCAGTTCTTATGAAAAGCAAAAACGTATTAAATGTTGAACACATTTTAGAAGCCAAAGATAAATTAAACTTGATCAAAAAGCATGTAATAACTATTTTGTTCCGAAATATAGTAGTTAGATTCATTACAACTTGCACAGTGCGCACTTCTGCTGTCCAAAGAGTAAATTCAATTCATCTTTATGTAGTAGCTGAAGAGAGCAGAGAGTGCCATATTCTATAGAAGATGGTTGGAAAGCTTTGTATGAGGAAGTTTGGAATACAAAAAGGAAATAACTTGCCAGCTCTTTCATGCATTTTTCAGGTAATGGTGTACACAAACATCTAACTGCTGCGATGCTTGTTAACTATAAAACATCTTTCAACAAAATATCCACTACTAGCAAGCTCGGTAGCTAGTAACTAATAAATTACCTGCTGTGGGCTATCGTGTACATTTCCTTTAATTTTTACATCAATGTGTACAACAGATAATGAATTCAGTCCCATTTCAAGAACCTCTGTAAGGTAAGCAAACAGTTTTAAAAAAATCCATCAGAATTGCAACTATTACAAAGTAGTCCTATCAATATCTGTTGATATGGTCATGATCCAGACAATTGTACAGCTTGGTCACCAGGCCCAACGAAGCCTCTGCTTTTCCCAGTCCATGAGTAACACTTACAGGGTCTGCATAGTTAATTGCTCTTGAAGCTCAGGTCTGTAGTTAAGCATAGAGGATGGGATATTTGTTTTGTTCTTTGTTTGGTTTATTTGCTTGTTTGATTAATAAATCAGGTGCATCTCTTGGGTATGCACATATCTTTGGTTTCATTTTTGTTTTATGGTCAGTAGCTTATGAAGCATTAGGTCATAGACTAATGTTATCATATTGTAACTAGAAAAAGCTTTACACAGCTGTTCTTGGGAAAAGTCAATTATTGTTTATCTTATAGTTAAGTCTGACAACCTTATTGCAGCAACACCTGCAATAAAGCCAGTGCAAATAAATACATGTTTTATTTCTTTGTGATGAGTAAAAGGAGTGTGCATTGACCTCAGTCCAAAGCAGAACGAAGTCCTGAGTCTCCCTGCCAGTCTCTTTGAGCTCATTAGGCATAAGATTTTGAGCAGGAGTAGCCTTAATTGGGACTGCAGGTGGCGCAGTGGTTTAAACCACTGTGCTGCTGAGCTGGTTGATTGAAGGTCACCGGTTCGAATCTGCACAATGGGGTGAGTTCCTGTTGCTCCATCCCAGCTCCTGCCAACCTTGCAGTTCGAAAGCATGCAAATGCAAGTAGATAAAAAGGTACCACTTTGGTGGGCAGGTAACAGCGTTCCGTGCACTTCGGTGTTTAGTCATGCCGGCCACATGACCACGGAGACTGTCTGCGGACAAGCGCTGGCTCCCTTGGCTAGGAAATGGAGATGAGCACCGCCCCCTAGAGTCAGGCATGACTGGACGTAATGTCAAGGGGAAACCTTTACCTTTAGCCTTAATTAGTGAGCAGCCCATGGAAGGAAAGGAGATCTGAGGTATGCAGACGTAAATACAGTAGGGGTATTAAGTCCATATGTTCCTAGTATTGAAATCTCAGTACTTCTACTTATTAAAACTTGCCTATTCAAGAAAATAAATGCAACTTATTGGAATTCTGCTGTTAAATGTGTAGGTGATAATTTGTGCCATTTTGTTACTTGGCATCACTTCAGATTGGTCTCTAATGTGCCTTTTACTTGAACACTTGAATTATGAACAGTGAGCTCCCTGTAGTAAATGCATTGAACTAACATGTGCTTCGGCTAGAATATGAGTGCAGAAATAACTTTTAGTTTAAGCATATGGTTGTTAAAGAGGGAGAGAGTGATACCCTCTGTGTTTATGCAAGCACAGGGTGCATACTGTAGCTTTTAAAAATGCATCTTGCAGTGCAGAAAGGCTAGGATTTTTCATTTTAGAGTCCCCCCTTTAAAAAGAGAATTTATTCAGAGAGCTTGCAGTTTAATAAAAAGAACATTTATTCATAGACTTTGCAGTCTAATCAAGTAAGTTCATTGCAAAAGTTTAAATATTCATCTGTCTAGGTTAAAAATCTAATTAAAGTTATGCTACAAACTTGGGTTCACTAGCATAGACCCCCCTCTCCAGTTCATTTGCAGATTATTACAGAAAGGATATAGCCAGGTTAGAGTCAGTGCAGCGTAGGGCCAGAAGGTTGGTGGCCGGTTTGCAGGGGATGGGGTATGAAGTGAGACTGAGGGAACTGGGTCTCTTCAGCCTGGAGAAGAGGAGACTCAGAGGGGATATGTTGGCGACATACAGGTATGTGAGGGGATGTCACATGGAGATGGGTAGAGACCTGTTCTCCCCTGTAGAGGACGGCAGGACGTGCTCCCAATGGAGCAAAGCTCCAGGAACCAAGGTTCAATTTGGATGCCAGGAAATACTTCCTGACAGTTAGGACCACGAGGGTATGGAATGGGCTTCCCCGGGAGGTGGTTGAGGCCCCATTGGTTCGGGTGTTCAAGGATAGGCTGGACATGCACATGATGGGCATGTCGTGAGCGGAGCCGGCTGGTGCTGGAGGTCAGACTAGATGGCCCGGGAGGCCCCTTCTGACTCGCTCTGTTTCTATGTTTCTATGTACTTCTGGCTGTAAACTGTAGATAGAGGAGACTATAGATGAAGCAGTAGGCTGTGTTAAGTGCTGTTCATCCAGTTGTGGGATTCCAGCTATACTGGGAAGGGAATTTATTATTTGCTTTCTTGTTTTATGTGTTCTTCAATTTAGTCCCTTGGACTCAGGCTATATCTTGTTTGTTTTGCCTCTACATAGTTGCATAGCTCGATAGAGTTTTGCACATAGCTGAAATGACCATTATGTTGTTATTTATACATCAGTATTTCATTTGGCAGATTGTGGCAACCAATTTGATTTTCTGTCAATGTATTCATCTTTACTATTCATCTTTACTATAGATTTGGTTCAGGTGGCATTTTTCACGTGCTCATTTGAACTGGCTATACACAACAGCAACTCCCCCTGGTGTTCACTCTTTACAAAAGAGAATGCCAAGGTAAGTGCTTTCTATGTATTTGTAAATAATTTAACACTCAAAAAGCATGATAAACTTACAACTGAATGTTGCATGATATTGTGAAACTTGGTTTCATAGAATGAGGTGGGATATACGAGTTGCATTCTAGCATACTTTTAAGTACATTTAAATTCCATTGCTATTAGCAGGGTCTAGGTTCCTTCAAATTATATGCAATCTTCTGGCTAGGTGTACCTGAAGAGCCATTTTAAATATGGCTGACACATAGTCCTTGTGTTTTTTTTAAATAAATTTTATTATTTTCACTGCAATCTAACTTTAAAAACAATGATTATTTAAGACATCGGATATACTGGGTTAACATCTTCCTCATTTTAACAGTCAATAGTCATATTCAAATCTATGGATAGTCCCATTTCTCTAGCTGATAATAGAATGAATTCCAAGTTTGGTAGAGAGATACGTCCTCCTCTTCCTTCAGAGACAAGATCGATCTGTCCCTTTCCATGCGGTCCAAAATCCTTTTTGAGCTCAACTCTTTGGTGCATGGCTCTTCACTCCTCCCGTAGTAAGCAAATAGAATCCTTGCCATAGTAATTACATATAAGATCAAATATGTGGTCTATTTATCGATTTCATTAAGAATAATATCTAATAAAAAAAGAGAAAAGCCTTCAGATTTAAATTTGTATTTACATTTCCAATGTCTAATTGACAAGTTTAAAAACATTTCTACTAAACTTAGCAATAAGAACTATCTATAAGTCATTTACTTCTATCTATCTAACTATAAAACATTTGTATAAGTTTTCTTTATGTGAAATTACTAAGATTACCTTGATATTTCTTTCTCACAACTTTTACCATTATAAGTCAATGTTATGTCCAACATTTTGTGCCTGTATTATCATAATTTCCTTAATTCATTCATCTTTCATTTTATACCCAAAAAGAGGTTATACAATCCTTTAATCATTCTTTCATCCAGTTTTAAAATCATTTAATCAAATGTTACTAATTCCTTTATAGGATCATATATTCTATAGAATTTACATATCTCAATCATATTTGAACTTTATGCCACCAAGAAATGTCATTACCCTAATCACCTAGAAGCTTGCCATCCCATTTATAAATCATATCCTTCAAGATATATAATTCCCTTAAAATTATCCATTCCCCCACAGAAATTTATGACTTCTAACATAGCTTAGGTTGACTCTGTAAACCGGGTCAGATTGTTTATCCGTCTCTTCCAAAACAGGAACATCTGTTAGCATAGTGTTTGTTAAACCACTTAGGTTTTCATTTTTTTGCTTCTCGTGTGTTCTGAAATCTCTCCAATCTCTTCAATATGGCAACTGAATCCCATAATAACTTATTTGTTTGTGTTAATTGTTGCTTCTCTTGATCCATCTTTTCAATTTTCTCTTCAAAAACTTCCGCCTTCTTTTTCAATTCTTGTATCTTTTGTTCGTTTTGTTTTATTTTAATACCAGAACCTGCAAGTTGATTCATTATCTTCAAGACATAGCTATCCAATTCATCCTTTTGTTCCAAAGCAAATTCTTGTATAGCGTTTTGCATAGGCTCTTGAGATGCTTGGATAGATGTTAAAGATGCTTGTATTGCCAAGAGTGTTGTTTGTAAGCTTTGAGTAGCAGACATAGATGCCAAAGAGGATAGGTAAATTTTATCCATGGTGGAAGTAAAAGGTTTAATTAAAACAATTTTTAAATAACCTGTTGTGGTACTAGGTTAGCCACTAAATAGCAACAAAAAATCACAAAGAGAGGAGAATAAGGGTTGGGGTTTTTTTGGCAAGCAATGTATCTGTTAAAAAATAAAATAACCACAGGGTGGCAGCCAAAAAGTTAATTGTTCAACCATACAGAAACTGGAGGAATCTGATTGCCGTGTCTCCGAAATGGAAATAAAAAAAGAGAGCTTCTTCTACCAATTAATATAAAATAAGTTCAACTTTAATTCTTCACCTTTGGGGAGATTAAACATAGAAAAAAATCCCTTCTCTTCCAAGTCCCAAATTTCCCCAGTTTCACGTAATCTCCCCTAGATTTGTTGCTGCTTGAACTCCACAGGGAGAGGTTCCCTCCCTCAGCCAAAGGGCCTTTCTTATGGGCAGTATTTTAATAGGTTTAATTGCTCACCCAGCAGGTCCGATGTCCACTGTTAAGATTCTTTTTGTTTTCTTTGCTATTAATCCGGTGCTGACAGCTTGTGAGGGGGTGCACCCCTCTCTCTCTGTTCACTGAGAATTCCCCCGAATTTCTCTGGTTGGGTGAGGAACTGCCACCCCCCACCAGGCAGAAGTATGCTTGGGCTTCTAATCCCTGCCCCGACAGGCCCCCTGTAGAATGGATTTTGACGTGGAGCATGGAGCCCCATTCACAGCCGTCTCGCTGCGACGTCAACCAGAAGTCCACATAGTCCTTGTGTTCTGATATCAAGGAACTACTTGGAACTATTTAAAAGGAAAGGCCTGTCCTGGTGAAATAATTATACCTACAGCCTTTACTACTGCAAACTAAGTCACCTTTGGAAACTTCTGAATTAACACTTCAGGTACTACATATTAGAGTCGCTATCCCTTTAACTGCCCTTTTGCCCATTATATTGGTTATTAAATACATGTAATGTAAGGTATTTGAAATGTTTTCAACCTGTATTTTCAAGAGTCATGAGAGCAGAAATAATTAATGGATAAACCAAATGTCAGTCTAGTAAAGGATTTTGTCATCATCAGTGCTTGGCCAAATGCCTCTAGGAGCCTGATCCTCAAATGAAATTCCCATCCTCCTAGCCCACATGGCCATTGTTTTGGGACAGAGAGGGGCTTTTCAACCCCAAAACATCCCAGACAGGACAGGTTGGGCTTCAGGAATGCACATTAGGATGTACCTCTTCCAAGACCCAAACAGATCGCTGGTGATAAATGTGGAGTGATGGAGTGAATGAACATGCTCAGCCCATGTTTTATCCCTGAACCTCTCATGGCAGGCCTTGTGCTAAGCTAAGGGAAAAACAGTGATGGGCTGCTTTGCTGAGGGAGGCCCTGCCTTGACACTGCTGTTTGTCATGTTTCTTTTGGCAAGGCAGATGCTATTTGACAGGACTCTATGACTTTGCCTTTGCAAGGGTAGTTATTTTCGATTGTCTTAAGATAATGGCTGGGTTCAGATGACACAACACACCATGGTGGTTTTTATCATCATGGGTCTGTCATGTTTTCTGAATCCACGGTAAGTTTGGTCTTTAGAAACCATAATAAAAAACAATGGTTTATTCTATGGTTTTTCTATAGCACCACGGTTTGCCATGTTGTCTTACCCTGGGGTGATGGTTTCCATGGTTCTGGTATGCACCTATCACAGTGTTCCCTGGACCAACTGCAGGAGCCACTTCAGAAATCCTTCTTCTGAAGGATCCTTCTGTGTGTGGACCAATGAGGAAGAGGCAGGAGACATAGGCAGGGAATGATGCAACTTGGGATTGAATTTCAAGTGCAGTGGCTGATAGGATACATGCCAACAGTGGAAAGACTGAGCAGGGAGGATGGAAACCATGATAAAGTAGAAACCACTTGCTCATTTGACAGGTAGATCACGGTAAGAAAACTCGAGAACCATGATAATCATATAGGTTTGCTTGTGATGTTGTGGGAGGATAGCCACTGTCTATTCTGCCTAGTCCATTCGAGTCTGTTAGCTTCAGAAGCTGCATGCAGACAGCTCAGGTAATATTTATAGGACTATTGACTATTTTCAGTTTCTAGAATCAGCACACACTGCTGATTAAAACAAGCCACAGAAGCTTAATGATGATTTATTTTGACTCTGAGCTAATCATTGACTCCAGTTTGCCCTGAATTGTGCCTGAGAATCAGGAATTGAACTACATAGGGGCAGGTCTGCATGAAAATATTTGCTGCTTATTACAATGAGCCTGGAAAGCAAAAGTGGAGAAAATCAAGGATTCATAATGACATATGTGCTGAACTTGCCTAGCTTACCTTCAATGTACTGAATTGAAAATAATCCTTTTAATATAACGCAAGATGTCATGTGTGATTTCAGGTACTTGAATATCTGAATGACCTAAAGCAGTACTGGAAGAGAGCATATGGCTATGATATCAATAGTCGTTCCAGCTGCATTCTTTTCCAGGATATCTTCAATCATTTGGACCAAGCTGCTTTGGAGAGTAAAAGGTAAAGGAAATGGGGGTGGGGGAGATACATGCATTCCGTTTTGTGACCCCAAGGTGACACTGTTAAGATGGCTCTGTTTCTTGAATGTGTTCATAATTACTGCTTGTGAGTGAGTTAGTTCATTTATATTTTCATTTATATGCTGCCTACTACTGTAGTCTCAAGGTGGCATACAATGAAGATAAAGATAACACATATGAAATAAAGAATAAAAACTTATGTAAATAAAAATAGTTAATCTGTATTTGTAAGAGTTTTTATATAATTGAGCAATCCTTTCTTATTGGGCTTCAAAAGGCCTCTTTACTTGGTGGCTTGTTTGTTTTTATGCTTGGATACTATTAAATACACTGGTCTTAGTGGAAATCCCACCTGGGGTATTGAAGTTGCACCTGCATGCTTTGCTGTTGCAACAACCTGATCAGCATTCATGTTGCTGAGTAGCAGGTGTCTTGTATGCCCACATATTATTTTCCATTTTTTAAAATGTTCTGTGTATTATTTCATGAAGGAGATCTGCTGAAATATAGCATTATTTCCTTACAATCTTACATTCCTTATAATTTAAATAGCCACTTCAGCAGATGTTTAATCCTGGATTTAGAATAAAGAATAAAATATGGTATATAAAAAACAAATCTTGAATCAATAGCTGAGTACCTGGGATATAGGATGTAAGTAGAATAATTTCAGTACTGAAAATATAGTTTTTAAAGGTGTTCAAAATTAGTTTTCATTTTGAATTTCATAGTCAGTTGGCAGGTAAGCAAATTCTCTCAAAAATTTGTCTTTCTAAATCCTTGAGAAAATTATTGTGACACAAATATATATAGTTGTGAACCCATAGGGGGGAAATCAATGGGTTGAATGTGGAATTCTGCAAGATATAGTTAACTTTCTGTTTTGTTATACAGCTGACAAAAGGTCCATTGTTACATTAGGCTAGGTATGTATGGAGAGAGAGAAACTAGGTATTGCTATGGTCTCCTGAGATACTGAGCGTAGCCTTGCACGACAAGATTTTTTTCAACCCCACTGAATCCTCGTTGGTAGAAGACAGATGAGCCTGGACATGTTACAGTTCCATCACCATTTTTTAGTGTTTTGATTTGCCTGATAGGCATGAGTGGAGCTATTCATTTATTTTTATACGGGGTAAATACATAGCACATGAAGGCACTGTTAGACTGGAAGCAAAACCTGCTCTAGAGATCCTAATACAGTGGTACCTTGGCTCACGAACGCCTCAGTACACGACCAAATCGGGTCACAAACAAAAATTTCATAAAAATTGAGTCAGGTAGAGAACTCCGCATTGGGTGGCGGCCACGATCATGCTGGGGGCAGGGGGGGATGGCTGAGATCATGCCCGTCTCCCCATATGAGCGTGCCCACGACCGCACCTGTCTCCCGCCCCCCCCCAGTGCACCAGGATGACAGGCGCATGCAGGGATGATGGGCGCGGTTGCGGTCATGCTGGGGGGGTGGGGAGATGGCTGGGTTCGTGCTTGGGGTGGGGGGGAGATGGCTGCAAGCCTTGTTGTTCTTTGTCACTTTGTTTCTTCACATTTTTCTGGATTAAAAAAAATGGTACCAGGCATGCTTCCTGAGGGAGGTCATTCCATAAGGCCCTTCTCCTAGCCCTTTCTCCTTCACTTCAGTAGGGGATAGCTCTTGGAGAAGGACCTCCGATGAAGATCTTAGGGCTCCAGCCCTGAGCCATTTAGGAGTTTTATGTTAATGTCAGCACTTTGAATTGGGTGCAACAGGCAGCTGGGGCAGCTGATGAAGGACTTGCGTGATATGCTCCCAAGGACTGGTCCAAGCACTGGGTTGCTCTGTTCTGGATTAGCTGAAGTGCCTGGATCGTTTTCCAAGGCAGCCGCACATAGAGCACATTACAATAATCCAGGCAAGAGGTACCAGGGCATGGGTAACTGTGGCAAGGCTCTGCCCATCCAATTAGGAACGTGGCTGAAAAATACTGTGTAAACTGCTAGATTGTTTTAAGATGTTTAGACTGTTCCAAAATTCTGTATAGTGAAAATTGTTTATGGCTGTTTTTAGTGTATTATGTTCCAGTTTAGAAATTACTGTAAACAGCCCAGCAGGTGGTATAGAAATTAAATAAATGCCCTGTGGTTAAAGAAAGCTATGGAGGGAAGAGGGGAACCTGTGCATGAGAGGAGGAGTCCTGTAGCATGCTCCCAGTCTTGTAACTATTGGTACGAGTGTTATATTTGCACTGGGCATCTGATTTTGGTTTGCAATTGACTGAAGTTCACACTAGATAAGTTTTTGCAAATTGGTAATCGGGATGTCCTGGAGCTTTTCTTGTTAAACTCCAGTTGGCAGCCTTCTATAGTTGTTGCGAAGATTCAGGAAGTGTCACACAGAAGTATAGTTTAAGCCCCTTCCCAAGAAAGGTTTCTCTTCACTTGGTGCTAGAATTAATTTAGGGGACAGCTGGGGAAGATAGAGCTCACTGTATGATACTGATCATACAGAGTTTGCTGTACGATGCTGTTTCTTTTCCCCGTAGAGCTAATGGCAGCATTATGGGAGAAGATCGCCCCTCCACTTTGCTAATGTTCAAAGCAGCTATATGAGGTTGCTAAGTAATGCTTCAAAACAAAGCAAGAATCCCTTTGGAGAATTCTGGTCCCAGATCTCCCATGTCATGCCTACTTTAGCCTTAATGAGGAGGTGCTTGGTGTCGCGGCAGTGTTCCATCTCCTAACACTGGATGGCAGTGTCGACACAAGATGTTCATATATGCTTGAAAAATTCCTCAGTTTACACAAAGTGCCTCATTGCTGCCTCTGCCTATCAGTAGTTCCTAAAGAAATACTAAGCATCTCCTATCCTAGCAAGGGGCATGAGCAATAATCCTTCTGTCCTAAAGAAGACAGGATTAGGTGCAAGGAGTTGATATGACTTGCTGCATGGGATAACTGGAGTCAAGCTGGTGTTACACACTGATCATTAAACCCACAATAAAGTTGCATCTGGATTAGAAATGGAGAGCTGCTATAAAAATGCAGACCCATAGCTAACTCAGAATACTGAGCCAGTTGAGTATTGTTTATTTGGTTCAGTTTGACCAATCTGCATGGAGGTGGGGGGTGGGGGTTAAAGTTCAGTCTCAAGAGGTGGATCACTTAATCAAAATTGTTTGCCTTTGATACAATCACTCTTTCCCACAACTTGGAGGAGTGTTAAGAAACGCAATATTGCAAGCTCATGCAATATTACATTCATGTAATATGCATGTAAATGTAATTACACTTTTGCGCTGAATTTAGTTTTCCTAATTAAACTTCCTCCTTCATGGATCACTGCTTGTCGTGACAAAGGGGCTTGCATAACTCAATGAAGCTATGAGCTATGCCGTGCAGGGCCACCCAAGACAGACAGGTCATAGCAGAGAGCTCTGACAAAATGTGATCCACAGGAGAAGGAAATGGCAACCCATTCAAGTATCTTGGCCATGAAAACCCCATGGATGGTACCAAAAGGCAAAAAGATATGACGCCGGAAGATGAGCCGCTCAGGTCGGAAGGTGTCCAATATGCTACTGGGGAAGAGCAGAGGGCTAGTACTAGTAGCGCCAGAAAGAATGAAGTGACTGGGTCAGAGCCGAAAGGACACTCAGTTGCAGATGTATCTGGTGGTGAAAGGAAAGTCCGATGCTGCAAAAATCTATACTCCATAGGAACCTGGAATGTAAGATCCATGAATCAAGGCAAGCTGGATATGGTCAAACAAGAGATGACAAGACTGAACATCCACATCTTAGGAATCAGTGAACTAAAATGGACAGGAATGGGTGAATTTAATTCAGATGACCCTCAGGTATACGACTGCGGGCAAGAATCCCTCAGAAAAAATGGAGTAGCCTTCATAGTCAATAAAAGAGTAGGAAAAGCAGTACTGGGATACAATCTCCAAAATGACAGAATGATCTCAGTTCGAATCCAAGGCAAACCATTCAACATCACAGTAGTACAAGTCTGTGCCCCAACCACTGGTGCTGAAGAGGCTGAAGTTGACCAGTTCTATGAAGGCCTGCAACACCTTCTAGAATTAACACCCAAAAATGATGTCCTTATCATCATGGGGGATTGGAATGCTAAAGTAGGAAGCCAAAAGATAACCGGGATACAGGCAAGTTTGGCCTTGGAGTACAAAATGAAGCAGAGCACAGGCTGGTAGAATTTTGTCAAGAGAATACGATGGTCATAGCAAACACTCTTTTCCAACAACCCAAGAGAGGACTGTACACATGGGCATCACCAGACGGTCAGCACAGAAATCAGATTGACTATGTGCTCTGCAGCCAAAGATGGAGAAGCTCTATACAGTCAGTAAAAACTAGACCACGAGCTGACTGTGGCTTAGATCATTGCAAAAATTTAGGCTTAAATTGAAGAAAGTAGGGAAAAACACTAGGCCACTCAGGTATGACCTAAATCATATCCCTGATGAATACAGTGAGATGAATACAGTAGAGGTGACAAATAGATTTAAGGAATTAGATCTGATAGACAGAGTGCCTGAAGAACTATGGACGGAGGTTCGCAACATTGTACAAGAGGTAGCAACTAAAACCATCCCAAAGAAAAAGGAATGCAGGAAAGCAAAATGGCTGTCTGAGGAAGCTTTACAAATAGCTGATGAAAGGGAAGTGAAAGGCAAGGGAGAAAAGGAAAGATACACCCAACTGAACGCAGAATTCCAGAGAATAGCTAGAAGATATAAGAATGCCTTCTTAAATGAACAGTGCAAAGAAACTGAAGAAAAATAGAAAGGGAGGACCAGAGATCTCTTCAAGAAAATTGGAGATATGAAGGGAACATTTCATGCAAAGATGGGCATGCTAAAGGACCAAAATGGCAGGGACCTAACAGAGGCAGAAGAGATTAGGAAGAGATGGCAAGATTACACAGAGGAACTATACAAGAAAGAGCTTAACATCCCTGATAACCACGATGGGGTGG